TCACTGGAGCAAGCAAGCCTCCCTGTTCGCTTCAGTGCATGGCTGCCGGCCGCCATCTTGGCTGACAGTTAATTTGCATAAGGATATGCTGATTAGCCAATGGGAAGGGTAGCGGAGTGACACCAATTTGCATGTTTCTCTTTTATTAGTGTAGATGTTGTGAAGAAAATAAGCCAGAGCGAGGTGATAGAGTGATGGGCTGTTACTTTAGTTAGAACAGTCAGGAAAGAGCACTAAAGGTGAGTTGTAGAGAACATAAGTGAAGTGACACAGTGAGTGTTGCAAATATTTGGGATAGAATTGTACAGATTTTGAGGTAAAAGTATGCGTTGGCAATTTTAAGGCTCAAGTTCAGTATGGCTAGAGTGGAGAAATTGAGGAGGGAGATTAGTAGAGAATTAGGTCAGAGAGGTAACTAGGGGCCAAGTCACCTAGGGCCCAGTGTACTCTGTAGGTGTAAGAGGTTTTTGACACCTACAGAGTGATATGATCTGATTTATTAGTGACTTGATAATACAGCTTCTGTGTGGAAAATAGACTGTAGGGTCATTAGACAAGAAGGAGGCAGAACAGTTAGGAAGCTCATGCATTACTCCAAATGAGAAAGGAAGGGGACTTGGAGTAGGCTGGTGATGGTAAAGGCAGAGAAGAGGTCATATTGGGATATGTTTTGAAGGTATAGCTGATGGGATTTGCTGATGGCTTGAATGTTGAGTGTGAAGATATGACATCAAAATTTTTTGGCATGAACCCAGCCAGTGTGGGTCAGTGTTTGAGTGTTGATCTATGAACCAGGAGGTCAAGGTTTGATTCCTTGTCATGGAACATGCTCAGGTTGCTGGCTCAATCCTGGCAGGGGACTGAGGGGGAGTGCAGGAGGCAGCTGATCGATGATTTTTATCATTGATGTTTCTATCTCTTTCTCCCGCTCCCTCACTCTCTGAAATCAATACAACTATATTGTGAGTCTATCTTCACTCTTGGTATTGTAAAGGGAAATGCCAAAAACACACACACCTATATTCTTAAAGTAGCAGTTACATTTTTAAAATAGCTGTTGTTTCGTGAGATTTAAAAAGAGTACGTGTACATTTTATAAGCTATAAACCATAAGAAAGGGGGGAAAAATCACCCAAATTGGTAAACATTCTAGCAGACATCAGACATTTTTCTGTACACATATATATGTTTTACAAGATTAGGATCACTGTTATGAAATATTGTTGACATCTTTTCAGTGAACAAACTATGTAAGTTTTTAATGGCTGACAGTATTCCACAATATAAATACACCATAGTTAATTATCTTATTAACACTGAAGTTGTTTCAAGCTTATTTTGATAAACAATACTCTATTAAAACTTCTAAAACACAAATCTTTGTGAACTTGTTTAATGATCCCCTTGGAGTAAATCCCTAGAAGGGTAATTGTTAGGAGAAAGGGCGCACTTATTTAAACATTTGCAATGTTTTGCCAAGTTTCTCTTGTCGGCATTTCCACCGACTGTGTGCATATGCTCATTCTCCCAGGTCCGCTGTGACGTGGTTATCGTTAGGCCTCATGTTTGCTAACAGAAGTGAAAGATGTTCTTATATTGCTCTTATTTGTATATCTTTGGTTACTAGTGTGATTGTGGTTTATTGCTCATCTTTGTTTCTTTTGTAAACTGCCTATGTCCTTTGCCTCAGTTTTTCCTCTTTGGTGTTTGTCCTTTTTTACTTATTGATTTACATGAGCTCATTGTAAATTGGATATGCAAACTTTGTCATGTCACTCAGACATAAAGAAAAGTTTTATAGAAGTTGGTACTTTTTAACGCTTTCTTCTCAAAAGAATGACTTTTAGAAAGTTCAAACACCATTTAAATGTCAGCATCTTCACATGACTCAGTGGCTGGGTAGCTCAGTTCATTACAGTGTCATCCTGATATGCCAAGGTTGCAGGTTTGGTCCACACTCAGAGCATGAATATAAGTGGAACACTAAAAATTAATGTTTCTCTCTCTCTCAAAAAAAAAAAAATCAATAAAATTCCATGGGCTTGGAAGTTTCTTCCAGTCCTGGAATTCTTCATTACAGTGTCATCCTGATATGCCAAGGTTGCAGGTTTGGTCCACACTCAGAGCATGAATATAAGTGGAACACTAAAAATTAATGTTTCTCTCTCTCTCTCAAAAAAAAAAAAAAGAAACATTGATGAGAGAGAAACATCGACCAGCTGCCTCCTGCACACTCCCCACTGGGGATGTGCCCGCAGCCAAGGTACATGCCCCTGACCGAATCGAAACCCGGGACCCCTCAGTCCGCAGGCCGAGGCTCTATTCACTGAGCCAAACCGGTTTGGCAAGTCCTGGAATTCTTAACCTGAAGCCTGTGGATCCTTAGGCCGTCTGTGGATGGCCTCCAGGGAGACTGTGCACTTCTGAAATTACATGCAGATTGTGTGTGTGTGTGTGTGTGTGTGTGTACTGTTTTCTCCCCTGGGGAAAGGTCCATAGATTCTGAAAGGGGTCTAGGACACCAAAATGACAAGATCCACTGTTTTTATGGTTGTAATTTATTGTGAGTTATCTTAAGATTTGTGTTTTCCCTTTGCTTCGTGTAGGCATCAGGGATTTGGGGTGCTCTCGGTAATTTTGGCAAACCATGCTGTCAAGCTGTTAACATCCCTCTTTCAAGACCTGCAAGTGGAGGCTCTGCACAAGGTGAGCGGATTGTACTCAGGGAATCAGTATATCAATGGCTGGATCTACTGGGTAAGCTAGTGGGAGCTAGCAGATCAGGTTGTTAGTTCCTGATGATTCATAACATTAATTATCTTCTGATGTTTACCTTCAGGGCTGGGAGACAGATGGTCCCCCTGCAGTCCTAAGCATCATGGCTCAGAGCACCTCCATACAGAGAATTCAACGGCTGATTGACTCTGTTCCACTGACGAACTTGCTGTTGACATTACTCTCAACTTCCTACAGAAAGGTGGGTGGGTCATGCCATTGATAATTGGAAGATCTTATATAGCATAACCTCCTCAGACTACACTCTTACTGTGACCTTTATAAACGCCAAATTTGTGGTAATAGTTTTAAAGATTAGAGAAACTCTTAAATTATTCTAAACATTTGAATCAGCTATTGGCTGTTAGCGTTGTGACACATTTGGCTACTTGGTGATTTGTGACAATTGGCACGCTGAAGGAAAAACATACAGTACACTGTGGAAACACTCCGTTTTTAATTCTTGTCTGTATTTCTGGTTTTGGAGTGCTTTTGTAGGGTAAGGCAGAGAGTCATGAAGGGAGCTATTAGGAGAGCTACTCCTTGGATCTAGAAAGAAGAGTAAGACACAGAAAAGACTTTCCAAGTGGTGATGGGATGAAGTAGGGTGGCTCCAATTTTGTGGTTGTCAGTTACACAAACCTCACTGTTTGCCTAGGCATGTGTCCTGCAGCGTCAGAGGAAGGGCTCCATGAGCAGCGATGCCAGTGCCTCTACTGACTCAAACACCTACTACGAGGATGATTTCAGCAGCACAGAGGAGGACAGCAGCCAAGGTAGAGTCTCTCTTTTCTGTCTTCCAGGAGATCAGCTACACTGCAGGGGTCCTCAAACTACGGCCCGCGGGCCACATGCAAATACAAATATTGTATTTGTTCCCATTTTGTTTTTTTACTTCAAAATAAGATATGTGCAGTGTGCATAGGAATTTGTTCATAGTTTTTTTTTTAAACTATAGTCCGGCCCTCCAACGGTCTGAGGGACAGTGAACTGGCCCCCTGTTTAAGAAGTTTGAGGACCCCTGAGCTACAGAGTGCAGCGGGAAGTTTCCCAGTGGTTCCTCTAGTTTCCTATTTACCATTTTCTTTCAGCTGCCTAGCCTGGATCTTGATTTTATGTGTACTCAATAGTGACATGTTATTTAAGAGTAAGTTGAGCTGTTGAAAACCGAATGATAGAAACTGCTATAAGTAAAGCCCAGATTGCTTTTCATTCCTTTTCCTCCAAAAATCAAAATACATTGCAGTTCATATTTCTTTTCATGTTAACCCATTTTGTGAACTCTGCTCTGAGCTTTCCCACCGGAACCGAAAAGGTTGTGAGGTGCTTGGTTTGGCTGTTGCCATAGATGTGTGGCTTGGGGAAGCTTTGGGAGAGACTGTTGCCGTGAACTACAGGACAAAACTAGCATTACCTCCTGCCTCAGTTTGGAGAAAGGTTGAAAAAGATTAGTATCTCGGATTCTTTATAATCAGGCCTGAGGGACCAATGTACAGTATTGCGAAAGGTACGAATCTTATCTTGGGGTTTACAACTATAGGCAAGTAAAAATTTGCTCTGGAAAATATTTGCTTTGTGGCCAGTAAAATAAAGTGAGATTGGTGTTCTTCCTCTGTTGGGCTCCTTTAAAAAAAAATCGGTAATAAAGGGGAAAAAAATCAGTTTTATTGAGGTATAATTTACATAAAGTGCTCCCATTTTTTGTATATGTTTAGATGTTTTAAAATTTTCAATTACAGTTGATGTACAGTATTATATTAGTTTCAGGTGTAAAAACAGATGAGTTTTGACAAATTTATGCAGTTGTGTAACTACCGCCACAATCAAGATATCCTTGTGTTCCTTTTGACTTAGGTACTTTTTTTTACGAAGTATCTATATGATATACTAGCATTTTAAATTAAAAAAATGTATTATGTTTGTTGGGTGTTTTTTTTCTCTGTTCAGATGATGACAGTGAGCCTATTTTGGGGCAGTGGTTTGAAGAGACCATCTCCCCCAGTAAAGAGAAAGTGGCACCTCCACCTCCTCCTCCACCCCCTCCTCTGGAGAGCTCTCCAAGAGTTAAAAGCCCCAGTAAACAGGCCCCTGGTGAGAAGGGCAACATTTTGGCCAGTCGCAAAGATCCTGAGTTGGTAAGAGTGGATTTCTGAGATTTAGGGGAAGGAAAAATGGGAGAAAGGGCATGAAAAGCAGATAATTTAACTAAAACATTTTGTAGGATGGGTAATTGTAATATTTAAAGGTATTTTATCTTAGGACTTAAATGTATCAATTATGCTTGATGGAATAACTTATACTCTTGGTGGTGTTTCTGTGATTGAGGGTTAGTATCATGGTCTTAGAGTTAGACAGAAGTGATTTTTCAATTATATGTCTCTTACTGCCTCTGTGAGTTTGGGCAAGAATCTGAACTTCTCCTTGCCTCAGTTTTGGTTTTATCATATGGGAGTGATTGTACCTGCCTTTAAGGGTGTTGTGAAGACCTCTTAGCATAGGTCTGGTACATAGTAAGTTCTTGCTAACACTTTTTCCAACCAGTATTTATAGATGATGTACTCTGCGTCAGCCCCTATTCTGAAGCTGTATCAGCAAACAAGTCAGATACAATCTTTGCTCTCATACAGCTTAGTCTAGTCAAGGATCTGGAATAAAGCATTTATACAATAATTCAATTTAATTTTAATAGAGCAGGAAAAGAGCTAAGAATTCTATAATGATAATATAGGCCTCAGAATTGAATCTACACTAACAAAAGACAAAGATGCTAATTAACCATACCTTCGCTACACCCATTAGCCAATCAGAAGAGTATGCAAATTAACCCAACAGAGATGGCCGTTAAATTTGCATACTGCAGGTGGGGCGCCCCGCTGCCATCCAGGCCTCCCGTGTGCAACCCGGGGAGGCGGGGCAGGCACCGTGGGATCGGGCCTGCCATCTGCCACCCGGGGAGCGGGCCTAAGCCAGCAGGTGGTTATCTTCCGAGGGGTCCCAGACTGTGCGAGGGCACAGGTTGGGCTGGAGATACCCGCCCCCCACCAGTGCACAAATTTTTGTGCACCGGGCCTCTAGTATATCAATAATACCCTAGAACTGGACAAATATAGATTGTAGCAGAGAAAGAAGTAAGTCAGTCTATTTGGAAAATCCCTGTCTTCATACAATATTTTGTGAAGTCTGTTATACTAAACTGGCGTACTGTTTTGTGTAATTGGTAGGATTACATGGGAAGGACTATCATAATTAAACTTAGTCCTGATGTAGGAATTTAAAATCTGACTTTTTAAATTCATTGTTTATTATAAGCATGAGGCCCATGGGCATATTTTACTTCTCTTTGTATTCAGGATTTGTAGGGGCTCTGGGCTTCAGAACCTGATATGAGCTTTTTGTTTTTGTTGTTCTTTTTAGTTCTTAGGTCTGGCTTCCAACATTTTGAACTTCATCACCTCTTCCATGCTGAACTCTCGGAACAATTTTATCCGAAACTATCTGAGTGTATCTCTTTCAGAACACCATATGGCCACCCTGGCCAGTATCATTAAGGAGGTGGACAAAGATGGACTCAAGGGTCAGTAGACAGGATATCTTTTTCTAGGGGAGTTTGGCTGTCGGCAGGGTGGTGTGATGCATCAAGTAGCTGCTTGAATAAATTGGTTTTCCCATTTGTCTCCAAGGTTCATCAGATGAAGAGTTCGCTGCTGCTCTCTATCACTTCAACCACTCTCTGGTGACTTCTGACCTCCAGTCACCTAACCTGCAGGTTTGTGTGCACTATGACTGGTCAGGCCAAGAGCTCTCCGTCAGTTCTCGGCAGGCTGCAGTTGTTCTATTGCTGAGGAATGCAGTTTGTCATGGAATCCCCACACTGGAACGAGTTTCTGAGAAGGATTCTAGTATGTCCCTCTGCCTCAATTAGGATCATTTTAGGGAAAAGAAAATGTCACTCAGGAATAACTACATAATTCCCAATGACTGTCCTAGTAGAAAAGTGGACAAAATAAACAAGAGGGCAGTTTATTTAAAAAATATAAATGGCCAACAAACAGGAAATGTTCATCATTAGTAATCTTCAGAAATACAAATTAAAAGGTGTGTTTTAAAGGAATCAGATGACAGGAGATAGATGCTCTCATATACACTCCTGCTTGCAAACCCACCACCAAAATGAAGTCTATGTTCTTGATCGTGGACTTCTAAATCTTAAAATTTTCTCTCCCTACTGAAGTACCTGATGTCCTGAATTCTAAATCTGAAATTTCTCATTTCATTAGTTTCATATATGTATTTATTTTTGCATTTATAGTTCTTAAATGTTAAAATTATTGTTTTTAGTTTTTATAGCAAATGACATCGTGATCTATGGAATCTTTTTAGGCTTTTTTCACTTAATATTATTTAGTAATAAACTGCCAAGATCCATCTATACTTTTGCAGTTCTTGTTTTGACTGCTATATAATATTCCACTGTCTTTGTGACTATACCAGTTTATTTCCCATCTACTCCCACTGACAGACCTTTGGGTTGTGTCAGGTTTAATTGAAATTCCAGGTGTTGCTATGGTCTTTCTTGTACATCTCCCTGTTCTCTTGGGACTATAACTAGGAGTTGATAGGTTATGGAGTTTGTGTGGCTTTAAGCAGATAATGCCAAACAACACTTCTAAGTAGCTGTACCAAGTTTTACTCCCACCAGCAATGTGTCAGAGGCATGTGGATTCACATTCTCTCCCAACACTTGGCAATGTCATATTTTCAAAACTTTCTTAACATGGTCACAGTGGTTCTCAATCTTATTGTGCATAAGGATCCCTGAGGATTTTGTTTAAAATACTGATTCCTAGTTACTGCAACACTGCTTTCGCCCAGTGAAATTTGGTAGATCTCCAATAACTTGCCCTACTATTTTGAAAAGTCTTTTGTTACTCTTAAGATTCATTCAGTAGATTCTCAGAATCAAGACACAAGTCAAGGATTTGAACTTGTCCCAAAAAGGAACAAAATCCAGGAAGCTATTTCAAGAGGTTAAAATTGATTCTCATAATCCCAACATATTTAAGAAATTCTTAAAATTTTTCTTTCGTTGAAAAAAATAATTATAAAAGCTATTTATACTTATCTACTGTTACATGAAAACATTTATTTTTTGGAGGGGCAGGAAAGAGGATATACATTGAGTAGAAAAGTTGTTGACCTATCTAAGATGAAGGGAAGGAAATGCTTCAGTTAGTAGATGGCCAGCAGTACTTCTCAGATTGTATAGGGTCAGGGTATCTTCCAAAGTTACCAGTTCCTTGTCCAGATCTGAGTTTATATAGGGAAGTTTCAGAGTTCATAGACTTGGTCTTCTCTTGCCTAAACTTGTCCAAATAATGGGGAAGAAACATTTTTCTCTAGAGAATAGTTCTTAAGATTCCAATAATGATCATGTCCTCTTAGCATTTTAAAAATAATTACAGACCTTGTGTTGACATGCAATCAAATTGCCCATAGCTACTGAAGAAATCCTTAAACTTCCCTTTTAATTTGATCTCCAAACATTGGACTTTAAATTTCCCCCCCGAATTTCATAGCTATGATGGAAGAAAGTGCAGGGTGGTCAGTGCAATCTAACAATCTTCTATTGAGTTCCCTACCTCAGATATTGTTTCTTTGGAGTAATGTACAAAGCCACGTTACCTAAGGTGCTGTGAAGGGCAACCAGTTAGGGGCTACCAGGCCGGCAGAGGGAGGCAGTTGGGGGCGACCAGGCTGGCAGGGAGGGGGCAGTTGGGGGCGACCTGGCCAGCAGCAGGGGGCAGTTAGGGGTGACCAGGCCGGCACGCAGAGGCAGTGAGGGGCGATCAGGCTGGTGGTGGAGGGGGCAGTTAGGGGCAACCAGGTAGGCAGGCAGGTGAGCGATTAGGAGCCAGCGGTCCAGGATTGTGAGAGGGATGTCCGACTGCCAGTTTAGGCCTGATCCCCGGGATTGGGCCGGCAGTCAGACATCCCCCGAGGGGGCTCGGATTGGAGAGGTTGCAGGCTGGACTGAGGGGTCCCCCCCCCCGCCCCACCCCTGTGCACGAATTTCATGCACTGGGCCTCTAGTATTGTATAAAATTAAAGGAATATATGTATATTAATCATAATCCTTTCACCAAATTCATGATTTTAATTTGTACATGTCTTCTTCTAGTCCCCATCCATATAGTTGGCATTGTTTTACAGTTGTAATTAGAACATTGATACATCTTGATTTTTGCCTTTTCAAATTTTATATATATGTTTTTTATGTTTACCTTGCCACCGTGTGGCTGCATATTAAACATTTAGATATTTTTCCTGGTTTTTTATTATAATAGTGCTACAGTGTCTATTTTTTATATAGCTGAGACATGTTTATTTTTTTTGAATCATTACCTCGAGTCAGGGATTGAGAAGTCATTCATATGTCTGTTGAGCATAGCGATTAAGAATGTAGGTTTTAGAAGTAAACTTGGCTTTGTTACTTGGTAATCTTGTGGCTTTGGTTGAAACCACTCCGAGCTGTTTCCCTCATCAATAAAATGGAGCACATACCTACCCAACGTTACAGCTCTGAGCATTTAGTGTGATAGTGTATGTAGAGCGTTTAGCCTACGGTAACTGCCTAGTACGCGTGAACTACTTGTGATATCTTTAATGTTTTGAATAATTATTTCCAAGGAATGAGCTCCTCTAGAATGTTTTATAAGAATATAATTTAATGTGGCAGACTTAGAAGTTTATCCTGTGTCCTGAGGTAACCATGATTTGTGTTTTCTGAAGCCAAGTGAGAAAGCAGGCTTTTGTCTGCTTTTCCATTGCATCCTGCTCAGTTTGTGTGTGTTTGAGAAGATAAGTTGCAGCTTAGATAACTGAGCTGAACGTAAAGCTCATTTGAAAGACATGCCTCAACTGGAGGCAGACAGCTCTGATTAATTCTAGATGCCTTGACATCTTCCAGGCAAGTTTCCCTGCTAATACTGTTAATGTAAGTTGTTAGACCTACAACGTGTTGTATCTTCCCCTTTTGAGTGTTATTTGTAGCATGTAACTGATTATGAAAGAAAAAAATGTTAGCTATTTCAGTTCAAGTTATCTTTGGAAAGTACAGACTTTTCATGTTCTATCCATTTAGAATATTTCCCTGATTCTGCCGTCTCAATGCATTTCTCCTTTTTCAGGACCTCATTTCTGACACTAATTAATGATACTTGTTAATGGGGTTAGGTTAGTAATTTTTTCCTTTATATTTTTGTCATTTGTTGAATGAAATGATCTTTTTCAAAACTACTTCTAAGTCTGAATTTTTGCATCCTCTTTTATTTAAATTACTCCTTTCGGTGTTAAAAAGTAACATTAGAGAGCATGAGTAGCCTTTTGGCCTCGTTTGCTGTCCTTTTTCTAATGGTCTCTTGTATGTCTTTCATGTCAGAACACACTATTGCAGCAGCTGGGAGTTGCTCCTTTTTCTGAGGGCCCGTGGCCCTTGTACATCCACCCTCAAAGCCTCTCTGTACTGTCACGCCTCCTGCTCATCTGGCAACATAAAGCCGCTGCTCAAGGTGACCCTGATGTCCCTGAATGCCTTAAAGTTTGGGACAGGTAAGAAAATGCCAGAGGAGCCCTGTGGAGAAGGTTATTTACTTTTTCTTTGTAGTGAATCTGTACCTCTGAGGTGGTTCTCTGATGATAGTGTTGAAAGTGGTGAAGGTGGAAGAGTGTGTTTCTAAGGGAGAGGGTTGGGGGAAGATGTGCTGTTTAAAAGATGGAAGTACATAAACTATGGTGTAGAAACAGAATTCCTTCAGCCAGGAAGGGATTTGGTTGCAATTATGAGATAGAACCTAAATCATGAACGTAACCAGTTTTATCCTGACCTGGTTTTTTGAGAGGGAACAGGGAAGCCAACTCTGTCTGTGGTTATATTGCTTTCATCATGAAACCACTGAGAGTGACTCTCAGTCTTTTTTGGACAACTTTTAAAGAATTTTTTTACTTGGGGGAAGCTCAGATTAATTATCTAAATCCTCTTTAGATGGACCTATATTTGCATTTTTGTTTACGTGGTTGGGAGTCTTCAAAGCAGTTTATTTTCCTAAAAGGCTTTGCTTTTCTTCTTTTTACGATCAAATAATTCTAATGTTGGATTGAAGAAATCATAAACCCCTCAAATGCCAAAGACCCTACATTTTTCCTGGTGGAATCTTGCAAAAAGGCCAGGAGGTAGTGGGGGGAATGTGAGGGGGAAGCCCTTATTAAAACACAAATCTCTATTCTGATAGCCAAAGGCAGCAGAAACAGTTGGCTACATTTATTCCTTTTTTGCATAAAAGCTCTTCCAACAAGTTCTGAATAGCAGGGGTTTGAGTTATTTTAGATTATTATTATGCATTGATTTAACCTGTACTATAAAAAAAATTAAACTCTAGAATCAAAGTATAGGGAAAAGTAATAATTGTTTTTACCTGACCAGATTTGTTAATTAAAAAAAAAAATCACCACCTTTTGGGAGTTGGCAGTTCTTGCCATTGTCACAAATGGCTGGGCTGGTGTTAATACTCCTGTGGCCTCCCTAGACATTGCTGAAGGGTTCTTGTGGATCCATCTGGCTTTTTTGTAGCCAAGATTTAGTTTTTTCTTTACATGTGGCTTTTTGTCTTCCTCAATTTGCTATCTTAATGCCTGGGTTTAACTTCCAGCACTTAACATTATAACACTTTGGGGATGTTCTAATTTTTTCCCAATGGACATATTCTCCTTTTCTCTGGTAGGTTTTTGTTGACAATGAAGCAGAATGCCTTGCAAGGGGTGGTGCCCAGTGAGACAGAAGACTTGAACGTAGAACACCTGCAGCTGCTCCTTCTCATTTTCCACAACTTCACTGAGAAAGGCCGGCGGGCCATATTGGTCCTTTTTGTGCAGATCATCCAGGAGCTGAGTGCCAACATGGAGGCCCAGATGCGCTCTGTGCCTCTCATTCTGGCTCGCCTTCTTTTGATCTTCGATTATCTGCTTCACCAGTACTCCAAGGCCCCTATGTATCTGTTTGAGCAGGTATGATGGACATACTCTTTTTGCTTTACTAGCTGTTATTGAGAGTGTTTTCTTCTTGAGTTACATGATATAAGCCAAAATGACCTGCTCAGTTTAGGTTTAAGGTGTTCATTGTGGTAGGCATTTGAGTAGCCACTGGGACTTGTGTTTGTGCACTCACACTTTATGTTTAGCCAGAAGCAATAAATGTAGCTGACTTTATTTGATGTGTTTGTTAAAAGTGGATTATAGGCTCTGTTCACAGGTGTCCTTCTTTGACTTAACCTTGCTTTGTCTAGCAAGCACAGTACCCTGAGCATCAGCCCTTAGTGAATATCTGTTAGTGGTTGAATAATGGTCAAGGAGTAAATTTTATGGTTCGGTGAATTCTTCTGAAGGAATCCAAAATGAGGATGGAAGGGCCAGTTAAGGATTATTATACTCAGCATTTCTTAAAATGTTTCATTTTACTGCAGCAAAAAGATGCTCCCCAAAAGAAGTCACTGGAAAATGTGAAGATTTTATTTTAGTTATGAATTCCTTAAACTTTGATGCATCGGTGTACATCATGCCTGGAGTGAGAAGCAGATGGCAACTGTGCATTCTTCTTACTTTGAGTATTTGTTTTAAAAGGTGCAGCATAACCTGCTCAGTCCTCCTTTTGGTTGGGCAAGTGGATCCCAAGACAGCAACAGCCGCCGGATGACCACACCCCTCTATCATGGTTTCAAAGAAGTAGAAGAAAACTGGTCCAAGCATTTTTCATCAGGTCAGACAAAAGACTGTCAATAAGAAACTGAGTTATTGGTTCTCATGGGCAGGAGACTCCTTGAGGATCTTTGCTCATTAGTTTGTCTACTGCCTTGGGTGACAAATACCTATAGATTCAAAACATTTTCAGAAATAGATGCTCACATCTCCAGCATTTATTTTAAAACAACAAAAAAACACACATTGAGACACAAGAATTAGAGTCCTTTTGTCTGCCACTCTAGATTGATTAAATTTAATTTCTCTTTGGATGTGGTTCTAACTCACAGGCTAAATTCCTTTTGGGTCAATATTCAGAAAATAATGGGAGTCATGACATTCTGTGTGGTATTCCTAGTTGCCCATTCTTTTGATGAGGTGCTTCTTGTGTGCATTTTTTAGTATGAGTTTGCTCTTATCATGAGGATTGTGAGATGTTTAGAGTATTCTGTGGAAATGTTCAAGTGTTCGTATGAATTTACTATCATTTGGATCTCTTATTAGTCCCTTTGGTATTGGGGAAATAGTATTTAACTTTAAGGTAGTCAGTCTAATGATACAATTTTGTTGATGAGCTTGGTAATAGAGCATGTTAGTTAACTCGTAAGTAGTAGTTCTTATCTGGGGGTGATTGTGCCCCCACCGCCAAAGGAGATATTGGGCAGTATCTGCAGACATATTTAGTTGTCACAACTGGGAGGCGCTCCTGGTATTCAGTGGATAGAAGCCAGGATGGTGGCAAACATTCTACAGTCTGCAGAACAGCCTCCCATAGCGGAGTTATTTGGCCCAAAATGTCAGTAGTGCCACGGTTGGGAAACCATGTTCCAAAGTGTTTCTTGGTTTTTACATTTTATGCTTATTAAACAGAGTTGAGAATAAAATACTTTTTTTAATAAGCACATTATTTTTCAGATGCTGTGCCACAGCCCAGATTCTACTGTGTCCTGTCCCCAGAAGCCTCAGAGGATGATTTGAACCGACTCGATTCTGTGGTACCAGGAATTTTAAAACCCCATTGTACATGCGGGTCAGATGGTTTCCACCAAAAGCAGTCTGTCAGGGGGAAAGGGAATGACTGTATGTAATGAGGGAATTTGGTCTGTGTTAAGGTTTGAGCTTATTCTAAAAGGACAATGCTATTTTGAGGTTTATTGGCTGGGCTCCAGTTTTGCTATAGGGGATGTCCTTCTTGGTGGTTGACACCTCTGACACGTGATTCCTGAAGACTTTTAGCATTTTCACATGCCAATATTTTAATGGATAAACATAGTTGCCTTATTCTAAAGCCTGCACTGTGTGCTGACAATAGCTTATATGAGGGCCCTGAGTGGGAATCTTTCTGTAATAAATTATTAATCAGAATTAGATGAACACTTTTGTCAATCATGAGGTTAAACGATAGTGTAAGTAGTAGGCAAAAAATATTTCCAAAAATAATAAATGATTGTCTTTCTTGGTATTAGGCATGTGATGTTCTCTTCTCCAAGCTTGTCAGTTATGATGAGCTTTACACTGCCCTGACGTCCCTGCTTGCAGCTGGTTCCCAGCTTGACACGGTCAGGAGAAAGGAAAACAAGAATGTTACAGCGCTGGTAAGACCATGGAAGCCTCGGCTAGTTATGAAGTTTGGCCTTTGTTTGATAATTGGTAGCAGCTCTACCAGAAATTTCCTTCAGTATTTCTATGTCATTATTCATCTTAGAGATAATTTTGTCATTTGTTAGCATTGGGAAAATTGTGACTTTGAGAGTTAACGGCAACCTAAGTATTACATATCCTGTGAGTGCTTAATGGGTGATACCGAAAGCCTCACACTTGAACTTTTTCTGTGGTCACAGCAAGGGGTCTCTCTCTCTCTCTCTCTCTCTCTCTCTCAGCCTTAACAGCAATCAGGCCACAGAAAAGGCCAGCTGATTGTGGGCCTGCCAAGGAGAATGTCCTGCTTTCTTTTAGTTACTTGCTAAATTGTTTGGAGAGCCCAAGTTGTCTCAGAGCAGCTTTTTTGGCCTGTGAAGTGTGCAGAATAAGGTGCAAATTATTTGTATGTGCTTTCACGTTTTCTGCTTTATTATTAGATACATTCTCTAGAAAAACTTGAGAGCCAAATCTCAATTGAAAATCAGGACTATTCTGCTTTGAGAGTTGTGTTTGGAGCAGTTCTTACCATTAGGGAGACCTTGAGGCAGTGCTACTACCTTATTGACTGCTCTTTTTGCTTCTTCCAGGAGGCCTGTGCCCTTCAATATTACTTTTTGATACTGTGGAGGATCCTAGGAATTTTACCACCATCAAAGACCTACATGAACCAGCTGGCCATGAACTCACCTGAGATGAGTGAATGTGACATCTTACACACTCTGCGGTGGTCTTCTCGCCTGCGGATCAGCTCCTATGTCAACTGGATAAAGGTACCACAGTGGAATGTAGAGCTTGCTGCTAAGAAATAATATTCAAAGCCGGTGTTCTCTGTGCTGTTGGGAACTTTTAAATGTAAAGGTAATGAAAACTTCAGACTCTGTCTATACTGATCTCCTGAACACTTTTTTCTTGCTGTCCAAATAGGATCACCTTATCAAACAGGGAATGAAGGCTGAACATGCTGGTTCTCTCCTAGAACTGGCTTCCACTAAGTGCAGTTCCGTGAAGTACGACGTTGAAATTGTAGAGGAATACTTTGCTCGACAGGTATGTGTATTTTGGATTCATCGTGACTGAATTTGGCTTTTGCCACACAGCCCTTTGCCACAACTAATTAATATCTTGTTATTTTTAAAGATCTCATCATTCTGTAGCATCGACTGTACCACCATCTTGCAGCTCCATGAAATTCCTAGTCTGCAGTCCATCTACACCCTTGATGCTGCTATCTCAAAGGTCCAGGTCTCCTTGGATGAGCACTTTTCCAAGATGGCTGCTGAGACTGATCCTCATAAGTCATCTGAAATCACCAAGAATCTACTCCCGGCTACACTACAGCTCATTGATACCTATGCGTCATTCACTAGGTGTGATGGGCTGCCTGCCCGGAGGTGGCAGAAAGGGAGAGTTAACTTTAGATCCTTGGGTGGTTTACTAGTACTTTCTTCAGGAGCCTGAAAATTCCTAAAATTGAACTTTGTAGTTCTAAGTACTATTCACTCTTAAGATCCTCAATGATTCAGAATTTTGTTGGTTTTGTTTTTATCAACTTAGATTTTTTTTCTTTTCTTTCTTCTCTAATATGAAGGGGTGTCTGATGAGGGAATTTTTGAATAGTTCAGTAAGAATCAAGAGAAAGTTTAATTCTTATAAATCTTTAAATGTTTTCTGGCATTTTACTTGTAAGATACAAAGAAAGATAATGTAATTTTTCCAAGCATGGTCATTTCTTCCATTATGTACTAAGATGAAGCTCTTTAAATGCTCTTTAAATTTTATGGTATGTAGTTAGAGAAACAAATTTTTAATGAGTTAGAGTATATTAAAATCCAACCCTTTCTAATAAGCATGGCAGATCACATGCCATGTAGATTTGTTTGTTCTTCATGATGTCTAAATATTTTGGAATTCATTTTCAGTGTATAAAAATTGGGAGTTTATTCACAAATCAAAATTTCTGGCCTTTTACGTTGAAAGAGCTGGCAGAACTGGGCCTGACTTGCCACGGATCAGTAACAAACCAGAGCTGAGGAGTGACCACTCTTGTAGCGTGCTCACTGGGCACACAGGGGCTTTAAGCTTATTCCCTTTTTCTGGTCCCTCTAGGATTTCATTATTCAGCTCCTATTCTATCGGGCTTTTATGTTAAAAGGGACTTGGGTCTTTGTAAAACTTAACTAATGTCTTTTAATGTGAATGCCTTCCAGTAGAGAGACAACTGTTGCTTGAGGCAAATTTTTGAACAAATAAATATGAAGTCAACATAAATAATAAATATGAGAGCTTGCTATGTGCCAAGTGGCTTTCTAGGTGCTGGTGTATAGCAGTAGCAGAGCTAGGGCTCTTCCTTCTGAGAACTTAATCTGGCCCATTAGGCCAATACTTTCTCATAAATAATAAATATGAGAGCTTGCTATGTGCCAAGTGGCTTTCTAGGTGCTGGTGTATAGCAGTAGCAGAGCTAGGGCTCTGCCTTCTGAGAACTTATGGTCTTTAATCTGGCCCATTAGGCCAATAATTTCAAAATGGAACTGTTACTAGATGTTCCTGGGCAAGTGAGTTTGGGAAGTGCTGGGTAAATAATATTTAACAGTTTTTAAAACTTCTCAGAGACTTTATATATTGCCAATCTTCCAAGGCCAGGGGGAGAGGGGTTGAAATAGTATTCACTATTTCCTGAACTCATTTATACTGGAATTGTGCTTTGGGAACATTTGAGAGGATGGGATATTCTTTGGGAAAGTTACCCATTGGAATTCTTATGAGAGCAGAAAGGGGCAAGAGCTGTCCACTATATTTAACAGACTAGGAAACGGGTACAGGTTGTCCAGAGTTAGTTTCTCCTAACTACAATGGGAGTAGATTCCTTCGGCTTTTACATATCCCCCATTTTCTCTTCAGAGCCTATTTGCTACAGAACTTTAATGAAGAAGGATCCACTGAGAAACCTTCCCAGGAGAAATTGCACGGCTTTGCTGCTGTTCTGGCTATTGGCTCTAGTAGGTGCAAGGCAAACACTCTGGGTAAGTGAATGTGCTTTTGCATAATACTGTTATTACAACCAGTACTGCCACTTCCTTCCCTCTCCACCTGTCTACTGGCATTTTCCATTTATTGGAACCTTTCTGTGCATCAAGCACTGACAGGTTTATTGGTTTAGATCTTCACAGTAACCCTGTAAGTGTTGGTATCATCCCCTTCTACTCATAAGGAAACTGAGGCTTAGAGAAGTTATTTGCCCCTAATCCTGTAGCTTTGCAAGGGGTAGAGCTGGAATCCAAACCAAGATAAGTTGGTTCTAAAGCATCAGGCTATTTTGTGAGCACAGATCTTTGTTCTTTTTTTCAGTTATAGAAATTAGAAAGACGAGCAGACTATTGTTTCAGGCTTGGGAAAACCTTCCCTGACTTAGGAATGATCTGGTAGAAATTTAGGATGGGGAATCAAAAGAACTGGAGTTAAGTACAGTAGTTACCCTTTAAAATTTCCAGCCATTTGTCCCTGGCCGCTTTGGCTCAGTGGATAGAGCGTCGGCCTGCAGACTCTCAGAGGTCCTGGGTTCGATTCTGGTCAAGGGCACATGCCTGGGTTGCGGGCTCGGTCCCCAGTGGGGGCGTGTAGAAGGCAGACAATCAATGATTCCCTCTCATGATTGATGTTTCTGTCTCTTCCTTTCCCTTTCTCTCTGAAATCAATAAAAATATATTTAAAAAACAACAACTTCCAGCCATTTGTATTTTCCTGAATTTCAAACTTTAAATGCTTTGGATGTTCAAATATTCTCACTTTAGAAATTAAACTTTACTACTTCCTTGAATGCTGTTCTTTATGATTTCTACCCTTAAGATTTATCTTAAGGGTAAAAGGGATCAAAGCAACACTTATTTGTAGAAGGTGTAGCAGAAGTTTAATAGTGATTTTATTCTAACTTTTAATGACCTACCTTTACTTTGCATCTTGTTTCCAGTTTTCTGCTTTACTTACACGATTAGAAAGTGAATATGGTGGGAAATAAAAACCTTACAATTGAGATTAAGCAGTTAGATAGTTCTTGGACATAATATCGCTATTGAACTATCCATCTAAGCCAGCGGTTCTCAACCTATGGGTCGCGAACAATGAAAATACATCTTGCATATCAGATATTTACAATACGATTCATAACAGTAGCAAAATTACAGTTATGAAGTAGCAACGAAAATAATTTTACGGTTGGGGGTCACCACAACATGAGGAACTGTATTAAAGGGTCGCGACATTAGGAAGGTTGAGAATAACTGAAAGCTATCTTAGGAATTATTTTGACAGCTTGAGCTGTCATGGTTCTTTTCTGCCTTTGGGCCTGGCTTTTAAGATGCTGTGCCCTATTCTTTTTCTCTAGTGATGATTCCTTGTCCTTTTTGTGGCCACCAGGTCCAACACTGGTTCAGAATTTGCCATCATCAGTGCAGAGTGTGTGTGAGTCCTGGAACAACATCAGCACCAATGAATTTCCCAACATCGGATCCTGGGTGAGTGTCTGTTTTTCCAGGAAGCACTAGCTCGCCTGTGTTCTGTTCTTATTCTTTAGGCTAAAAGTAGCTACCAGGGGATCTTAGTATGCTCCAATAGTATTTGCTGTGGCTAAATCACTAATCAAAGCCTTGAATTATCCATATGGGACCCATGTGGTCTTTTGCTAAGAAGTGTGTGTTCTTGTGTTACAGGACAGGTACTCTGTTACTCTGAGCCTCAGCTGCTTCATCTGTTAAATACAGATGTGAAATTAAGAATATTAAATGTAAATTGCCTTGCACATGATCTAGCATGAATTCTCAGTAAATGTTAATTGTTTCCTTTCCTTTTTAGCTTATGTCAAAACCATGCTACTCTTGTTATAATTTTATGGGGTAGCTTTTAGGTTCTCTAGGCTTTTAGAAGACTGTTTACTCTTCTGTCAGTTTACTTGAACTTGGTGTATTCTCTACTCAGATTACCTCTTAACAGATTATTACAGTTCTTTGGAAAAGCCAACTATTATAATCTTATTATCCCTGCTTTGTAATTGTGGCTTCAGTTTACATTACCTAAAGCCTATAGTACAAGAATAATTAAGATATTTGTAATGGAGATCCAGATGCATTGCAAAATCTAGATCCTTCTCAGGTATTCAAGACAACAGTTTTCATGTTGTTAATATACAGTTGACCCTTGAACAACTGGCTTGAAATGTGTGGGTCCACTTATAGGTGGATTTTTCAGTTGGCCTGTACAGTTCAATTTGACATTGTTCAAGGATCAATCCTGGTGTATGAGGAGGACTGACTGTAGTTATATGCAGATTTTGGAATGCATGGGAGATCGGTGCCCCTAACCTCCAAGTTCATCAGGGCCAACTGCAGTATATTCTAATTATTTGGAAAGTGATATTGGGCATTTTAGCTTTTTATTAACTAAATTTTAACTTTTAAAATATTAAATTAATTTTGTATTAACTAAAGTTTGTACCTGCTCCCTCCACTCGACCAGCTTTCCTTCCCAGGATGCATAGTGTACACTGAAGAGAGCCATTGTCTGTAAACCTCAACAGGGCCTTAGTTTATGTCAGCTTGGTTTCTTTTTTTCCATATGAGAATTTTATCCTGGCTAGGTATATGGCCTGTCCATTCGTGTCTGTTTTGTCTCCATTCAGCGAAATGCCTTTGCCAATGACACCATCCCTTCAGAGAGTTACATCAGTGCTGTGCAGGCTGCTCATCTGGGAACTCTTTGTGGCCAAAGCCTGCCCTTGGCTGCTTCCCTGAAGCACACCCTCCTCTCTCTGGTCAGGTTGACTGGGGATCTTATTGTGTGAGTATTTACTATGTAGCCTGAAGTGCTCTCTATGCCTGTATTCTGTCATAGCTAAAAAAAGGCACGGGTGTTTTTTAAAAAAAGTCTACATAATAATGCCTTATGCATGTTTCTGTAGCTGAAAGCCTGGTGGGTTAGAATCTGAGCTTTCACCTAGAATGATTTTTAACTTGGTTCTGAAGGGCAGCAGAGTACCTCCTCCCCTCTCTGTATAGGGGAGAGTCTTTCAGAAAAGGCATGCTGGCTTTAGATCATACTGTGATTTGGAGGTGCTTCGGGTTTAAACTTTAAGGTGATAGTGATATATTTGAAATCAGATGTTTCTCCAGATCATTGTGGGAGGCACACACAGCCATTGGGGATTAGGAATGGCCATGGAGGGACTATTTTGTCTTCCTGTACATAGGTCACGGGTAAAGTCCTATATCACATTGCCTTAAAAGTAAGCCAGATTCCTGACAGTTCTAGAAAAGTATCTGGGATGGGTTACTAGATTAGGTTTTAGTTAATTTTCTTTTCTAAATATCAAAAAATAACATCTTATTGTTTTAATAAGTGAATTTTTCATATGGAAATAAGTTTTGCTTCTGATATAACAATGACAAAAATGATATGGCATCTCTGTAAAAAACAATTATCAAGGGCAAAAAGACTGTACTAAGAGTCCTTCCCCTTAGTAATGACTGAATTGCCCTATTTTGCCGTCCCCCCTTGCAGCATTTTGGAGAAGTGTACTCACTAACTTGGCTCCGTTTTCTTTGTTGAAGTTGGTCCGATGAGATGAACCCGCCACAGGTAATCCGGACCCTGCTTCCCCTCCTGTTGGAGTCGAGCACTGAGAGTGTCGCTGAGATCAGTAGCAACTCCCTGGAGCGCATCCTGGGCCCCGCGGAGTCGGACGAGTTCTTGGCTCGTGTGTATGAAAAGCTGATCACTGGTTGTTACAACATTCTGGCCAATCATGCGGATCCCAATAGGTGAGCCTGATTGAGGAGATCAGTCAGGTTCCTGTGACCTGCTACTCTCAGTGAAATGTACCAATACAGGCTCCTTTATGCCATTAATTATTAGCTTTTTATTGTGCTTTTAAACAGAAATTTCTATACTTGTGTGCACTTTGTGTTGTCGGCATGGGCATGAAAGTTATTTGGAATCCTCTTTTGTGGTTAATTCTTAAGAATAAACATGAAGAAAATGGAAGGCTTAAATGCTCAGATTTGAAAACTTGAAATATTTCAACAGATGCTTATCAAGTGCTGTACTAGATGTGATGAAGTATACAAAGAAACTGATAACATTTCTAATATTTTTGTGACCAGGCTTCTGAGATGGGTGGTCAGTGGAATTAGGTAGTTTCATAGCATTGTTTGGCTTTGATAGTTTAGGCCATGTTGATGTGGGCGAGTCATAAAGAACAGATGAGTAAGTTATAGTTTTACCCTACTGAGAACTATATAACTAAAGGGTCTAAGTATTGGGATTTCCTTACTTTATGTTGTTGAGACCAGGGTTTTTTTTTATCCTGGGCTCTCCCCCATCCCCCTTCCCCCCATTCTAAGTATTGGGATTTCCTTACTTTATGTTGTTGAGACTAGGGTTTTTGTTTTTTATCATGAGCTCTCCCCCACCCCACCTCCCCCCATTTCACCCCTCTTCCTTCATTCCTTCCTTTCTTCCCTCCTTCCCCACCTCCTTCCATAACATCAATGGTCCTTTGGACTCTAAGCTATCGACTACATCAGTTATCTCAGATTTTAGGAATTTTTTGTTTTATTTTAATTTATTAAATATTTATTGCGTACTTAATTGTGTGCTAGGCTTTTATGCTAAATTTTGATGAGACAAAATTGAATATTACCCTCAGGGTTTAGTCATAAACAAACTTTAGGCTTTTAAAAATCGGTATTAGGAAGACATTGAAACAGACCTCCTTTTTGGTAGTTAATTTTTCTTTTTTATCCACAGTGGACTGGATGAATCCATCTTGGAGGAATGTCTCCAATATTTGGAAAAGCAACTGGAAAGCAGCCAGGCTCGTAAAGCCATGGAAGAATTCTTCTCTGATAGGTGAGCTG